CGATCTCCCCAAAACCCCAAAACCCCAAAACCCCTTCTCGAGATTGGCAAGAATTAAATAATCTAGAAAATTGATTGAATTAATTTAAATATCATAAATCATTCTTTTTATTCTTTTAAGGAGGAAGCCTTGATATAAATTTCATCAAATTAACTTTTTATTTGTATTTGTTACGTTTTAATATAGTTTTCCTCATATTTCTTTTGATCCTCAGGGAAATTATCATCATTGTATATTTCAGTAACCATAAATTAGAATTAAGGCTGAAATACTTAATACCCATCACTAAATTTATTCATAATCAATTTTAGTTCAATTTTAACAGCCTCATCATCGAATTTTTTATTTGCTTAAAGTCCTAGCAATTAACAGAATTTGTTATTTTTGCAATCATGATTGTCTAACCAAGTCTTTTATCCATACTCACCTAAATCATATTCTCCGAACATTGCAAGTTTATACGAATGAATTAAGGGATCTGTTAAATTTAGGGTGTATCCAATCCTCCAGCCTTAAACATCAGCAATAGTTATCATGCCACCTGTGATTAATTAAGTCCAATGACTAAAAGCACTTGCTAGTTATTAATATGTCTTTTACTCTTCATTTAATATCGCTGGTACTTAGACAACTATACCATCTACATATTTTCTCAACTATTTACAATCTTTGATTTAGGTGTTATATTTTTCAATATTACCATTTTAGAACATCTCAACTTAATAGAATTACTAATCTGAGTTATTGAAAAGCGGGATCAAGAGATAAGTGTCTATATAACTTAAACTATAGCCTGTATGTTTTATTGTCTGGCTAAATTTTAGAGATAAATTCTTGGCAATTATAAGCTGAATTATATCCAGAAAAACACGAGTATCCTAAATACATTCTCTTTCACCTTTCAAGCTTTTCAAAGCCCAGGATTAGCTTTCATTCATTTATGCTTTCTAAAATTACTAATATTCTTTTGAGAATTCATATCTTCTATACTACTGTGATGTATGCATCGAACGCTGAGTACCGCTGTCGTCTACATTAAACTTCTTTATATAAAGTTCTATCTTTTCTTTTATTTCAAACTATAATTTCTACTCATTGAAGTGGTATAGCTCATACCATCTATAGTTAGAATAGGTATTCATTAAAGAGGAAGTTGATTTCCCTTAATTCTTAAAGAATTCTCGAAAGATATGATTGATATACTTAGCATTTTATGTTGTCTCTGACTAACTGCCTTTTGAATTTAATATGTCAAGAGTTAATTCATCCCTCTTTATCAATAAAATTTTGTTCATACATACTTGACAGAGACTAAGATTGCAGGGTTCTTAAGAGCTTTTCATTGAATTTCCACAAATAAAATACTTATTAGAAGTATATTTTCTACATAATCTACGGAAAGATTTTTAATTTATTTCTAACTTACGTGCAAATTACTTGACTTAAAACATCTTGTTAATTTTAATACTCAAGGACCTTAGACTTATCATTGCACAGACATGGTATTTCATGTATAGTCAACAAGATATAACTCGGGGCAGGTTCTTTTAATTCAATGTGGTGGTGTTATTCTTACTAAAAGAATAATTTAACAAATCATTTTTATTACTCTAATGTTTAATCGGCCTAATGGATCAATCTCATCTTATATTCGTACTATTTTTTCTTCTAGATTTTTTAGATCATTTTCCATTATTCATCTAAAGTATCCTTTTAAGTAGAAATTTTTAGGATTATTAGGATCTTCGAAACATCTTGAACCAAATATAAAATAACTCTGGAAGGTTATATTATCCATTGTGCTTTTGATTGACACAATCGCATTATAGATATCATCACATAAGACTCCTTTTATCCAATATTCTTTGTGTTGTGCTTAAATTTTTCCCAGTCCGCTTAAGATATCACCTTCTATTAATAAATATTCTAGTGGTATTTCTTAATCAGGAATTGATTCATATTTTTAACTCTACATAAGAAACCTCGAGTTATCATCAGTGTTGCTCACAGACGAATTAAAATACTGCTCTATTTGTGAATTCATTCTGAAATCAATAAATTATTAAATTCTCTGACGAAATCTAAATAATAACAAAAATGAAATTGATCATTTTTTTCTGTTGATTTTAATGCTTACGGGGTTTTGGGGTTTTGGGG